TTTGATGCAGTTGGCATTTACTTGATTTAAAAAACCTTGTCTGAAGATAGAAAGATGAAAGTAATGAACATCTGGTAGAAAATACATATGCATGCACCCTTTCATGTTGAAAAGTTGAATTTGACTAATGTCATTTGTGTAGGAATTGATGGGTTAAGTAAAGACATTTTTCAGACTTCTTTACATCTGTTTACATTGCAATGTAATGCTTTTGGATAATTGAAGAGATTAATGGCTCTTATTATTCTGGTCTTTAATACTTTTTGCTCTCTTTTCTGATTTATTTTTTGTTTTTTCTGTTCTGGCACTCCGTGTAATGTTTCACTTCAGCAGGTCAAACAGTGGATTTGGCCCTACTGTCCATTAAATTCCTGAAGTAACTGTCACTGTCTCTTGAAGGATTAGAACTTGAAGTCAAGAGTGATACTGCTGTTGTTTTCCAGGTTGGCATATAAGAAGTCAGCCTGTTGGTATGAGGTCTTAAAAGCATGTCAAATACAGCACAAAAATGTCCATACACCAGAATCCAAGAGCAAATGTGCTGTAAAAAAAGCCTAGTAAATCTTTTTGGGCATAGAGTGAAAGGGACTCACTGCCAGGACACACCTTCATCTATTGTGTAGGTCAATGAGCTTCATGTGTCTTAGTGACTTGCATCACATAATTCACACACCCTCTGTTTATGCTGTCTGGGTGTGCAGTAACAATGAGGAAAATGACAAAATGCAATAGAAGAGGTGACAGTCATACAGCCAGAAACAGTCTAGTAGGACAAAATTGCATATGTGCTTCTGAAAACTGTTTTTCAGTCTTGGACAGTTAGAGACTGTACCTCCCTGAGTAAATTGCACTGCTTTCATCCTGACTGACTTCTGATGTCTTTGGCACTTTTCAGCAGTGAGAGTGATTGACAGAATTCAGCATTTGCTTTTCACCATTTGATGCTGTTTGCTTTCTGGTGTTGATCAAATGCTCCCATTTGGCTAAGATGCTTGGTGTGTATTTATTCTTACTTCTGTCCTGCAAATTTTTGACAGCCTGAAATACATTGATAGAGGCATTTGAAGAAATACTGCTTTAGTTAGTATGCTTTTGAAAAAAAGATTAGAATGAACTGTAAGCAATTGGGAAAAGCTGTTGCTTCTAGTGCCTGAAGGGGCCTACAGGAAAGCTGGGGAAGGACTTTTTACAAGGTAGTGAGAGGACAAGAGATAAGGGATCAAAACTGGAAGAGGGGAGATTTATGTTGGATGTTAGGAGGAGATTCTTAGTGTGCGAGTAGTGAGACACTGGAACAGGTTGCCCAGAGAAGTTGTGGAAGCCCCATCCCTGGAAATGTTCAAGGCCAGGTTGGATGAGGCTCTGAGCAACCTGATCTAGTGGGAGGTGTCCCTGCCCATGCAGGGGGGTTGGAACTAAATGATCTTTAAGGTCCATTCCAACTCAAACCATTCTGTGATTCTTTGATTTTTTGCAGCAATATTGATATTTGGAGTAAGACCACCCAGTTTCATGCACAACCCTCTAGTAGTGTTTCATTGCATAGGCTGTACCATCTCTTTTATTAATACAGGTAATTCATGGAATCATATAGGTTAGACAGATGGAATCTCATTTCTATGACTGTTATAACTTTGGCACTAGTAGGTGGAAAAAAGAAAACCCATACTTTTGCTTCTTCAGAATCAGGTCAGAGACATGATCTGAACTTCAGCTGTATAGCTGTGTGATTCTTTGCAGGTGTGGTGAAGCCCATGCTATTTTCACTCCTGCTGTGAATTATGTTGCATTGTAGGAAACTTGCTTTCTTCTACCATATCTATGTACAACCATAATGCAGTTTGCTTTCTTTTGGATTGCAGCTTCTGGCTTAGAAATAGAAAAGTAAGAACTTCTATACTGGGGAGTCCAGAACTGGGCTCAGCACTCCAGATCTGCCTCATCAGTGCTGAACAGAGGTGGGGAAGGATCACCTCCCCCAGTCTGCTGGCTACACTTCTCCTAATGTAGCCCACAGTTCTGTTGGGCTTCTTTGCCACAAGGGCCCATTGCTGGCTCATATTAAACTTAGTGGCCACCTGGATTGAAATTTTTTTCTCTGTGAAGATGATTTTCAGCTGGTCAGTCCTCAGCATGCAGTGGTGCATGGGGTTATTCCTCCCCAGGTGCAGGACTTTGCATTTCCTTCTGCCGAACCAACTTCCTGAGGTACACTGCTATTACCAAACTCAAGTTGTTTGTAGAATACTTACATACTCTTAGAAGCTTACAGGAGTCTGCTGTAGCCAAGTCTAGCCTATTAAAAGTGAATGGCTTGTTTTTCACTAAAAGAACAGATGTAGTGTCTGCTAGTCTATTCAAAACAGACTGAAAGTTTTACTATAAATTATCTCTTGCTTGCCCCCTACCTCAATGGAGAGTTTCAGAGTAGGCAATGAGAAATAAGGCTTGTTTTGGGACTGTATACAGCAAGAGAAGACTCTAACAGCATATTAAAATACTAAGACCATTGCAGGAGAAACTGGTATCCAACCAAAGCAGTAACCACAATGTATTCTTTTATACTAATTTCTTGTTTTAACAAGGAGTTAAAATGTTTTAAAGTTCAAGCAGATTTACGTTGTGAATATAGAGACATATCTGACATTCCACAGTTTCTACAGAAGTGTGTGATTGTAAGTAGGATGTTGCTATTGGGTCTACTAGCAGTTGACACCCTACAGTGGGTAAAATATTTCTGTTGTGCTCCTGGATACTTGCTTGTGTGTGGTGTAAACAGAAATATTATTGATGTTGATGGGGAGGTATGTGGCCACAGGAAGCATTTTGTGGAATTAACCTGTGCCACAGATGACCAGCTAGCAACTCTGCTGTTGTTTGGTATCACTGACTTCCTTTTCCCCCAAAGAAGGTGGGGTTTTTTTGTGTTTTTGTTTTTTTTTTTTTTGTGTTTTTTTTTGGTTTTTTTTTAGGAAATCCTGTTTATTTGCTTTGAGGAAATATTTTTTTTCCAGTCAGTCTTGTTTGTGTGTGTGTGGGGAGCAGTGGCAGTTTTAGGTTTCTTCGGGTTGTTTGATTTGTTTTTTTTTCATTCTGTTAAGGAGTGCTGGTACTACTTGGAAGTTTTTCTGCCTCTGAGTTGCAGTGCTAGGTACATGAGGAGTTGCTGATAGTGGTGATACCATCTAAATCCCTTTTTTGTCATTAATTATTTGATTATCAGTTACTGCAGATGTTTCAAGTTCTCTGGTCTCTTTCTGGGGAAGAGCATTTACATTTATCCTTTTTCTCCTCTGCCTTCTACAACAACCCTAGTTGCCTTAGCTGGAGAGCTTTTTGGAGGCAGTAATTTCTAGACTACAGTTCATTACTCCAACTCATGTCACAGCTTGAGAGCAATTGAAGTGATAGTCTAGAGGCCCTGCTTCTTGGTTTGCTTAACTTCTTAAAGGAATGTAAAACACAGTTAATCACTGAAAATACACTTTTTTTTCTTTCACCCCACCCAACTACAAGCCTTAACCATTATTTTTTTACTTCATAGAATTATAGAAGGGTTTGGGTTGGAAAGGACCTTAAAGATCATCTACTTCCTTCTGGCCTTTTTAATATCCATTGATTCCACAATCATCTCTCAAATCTGAGCATGTTAATTTAAGCAACTTTATGTTGAGAATGATTCTCTGGGGCTGGCTGATGGATTAAGTGGCAGTACCTTGTTTGAGAAGCAACCTACGTTTGCACATTCTCCAGTCGTTTCCCATTAAAACTTAAATCCTTGTTCTGTTGTGGCACCTTTAAAAAGCAGATCTCCTCCTTACATCTAAGTTTATGAAACCAGGCATAGTACAACCCAGAAGCCCAAGGAATGCCTGATTGAAATAACAGATCAGAAAAATCTCTTGCTAACATTCCTATGATTATAGGTTTACTCAAGTGACAGAAGCATGGTGTCAGCTAGCTTTCTGCATACAGCCTAATTTTGGTCCAAAAACTAACATAGCTCTTCAAGGCTTCAGTAATGCAGTGCTTGTGGAAACAGAACTGCTTAAAATGCAACAGTATTTGTTACCTTTCCTCTCTCTAGAATTGTCTAACATATTGCTGGTTGTATAGTTGGTCTGGTTCCTACTGTATAGCAGAATGTACTCCCTGTTAGTAGTCACTGAGATTGTGTAGAGCGAGTCAAGGGAAACAAAAGTGACTCGTTAGATTCTTACAGGTAAACAAAAAGACAATTCTGGTTTAGTCCACTCTGTCCTTCTGTGGTATCCATCTCAGTTAATTCTTCCTTTGTATTTGGATTTCTTCTCTTGGTAACTTTTTACCTGGTTTGACATCATCCATATAGGTCCAAGGGCACTGGTATAGGAAATGCAGGAGAAGGCTTAAGAAAGAAAAAAAGGCAAGAAACATCAGTTGGTTCTGATTTACAGTTAAAAAATGAAAGGTGAAGAACAGCAAATGTAGAAGTTAGTTTTAAAGTTATGTATTGCATCAAGCAGTGAGTATGGTGTAGGCAGATCCATTGCTTTTATTTTCATGTGACCAAGTGACTTGAATACATGATATGAACACATAACAGAAAACAGAACTCATTTAGCGCAGTTTGAATTTAACCTTTCATGCTGATAAAGGTCAGTGTCTATTTGTCCTGCTCTGTGTTAGAGGTATTTTAATGAGAAAATTTGTCATTAAAGTTCTCCTAATAGTCTTAATCGCAAACTTTTTACAACAGAGCTTAGCAAATACGTAACAAGAGCCCCTGTGACACAGGAGGCTGCAGCCTTAGTACACATAAGGATGAACAAGCTGTAAGTTATTATGGAGTTAACTCCTACCTCAGTGTCTACAAAATGAACATCAACTGCTTTAAACTTAATTTAAAGCTTTCTGGAATTGTGCCAGGTTCTGATATAGAAGTTCTTTGTATTTTGCTGTTGATACTCGTGTTTTTTTTCTCACTCCCTCCACCTCTTTCTCCCTTTGCAGGCAAAGGCAGCTCAAGCATCTCATCCGACGTGAGTTCAAGTACAGATCACACACCCACCAAAGCCCAGAAGAATGCAGCTACCAGTGAAGGTAGGCAGCTGGTACTCATTACACAGGTCAGGCCCTCCACCATAATCCTAGCAATTTTCAGAAAAGGAACCCCTCCTCCTCATTCCTTCTGTGTACAGTACCACAGGCTTACTAGAAATTTAAAAAGTTCTCCTTTCTCTATAGAGTTGCCACTCCTACCTGCTTTAGCTTCTGATTTAAGCTTGTGACAAAGGATCTAAAATACTTCTGCAGAACAGAAATGTAGAATGTTTTGAGCAATTTTTCATGTTACTTTTTTTGCAAATACGTTGATACTTAAGTTTTTATGCGATAAGATTTAGAACTTATTTTGTAAGAATATACTTAATGGAAGCTTTTTTGGCATACATTCTAGGTTAAATCTCAGCATCTTATTTTCATACTGTGAACACGATGAAAATGTGAGTTGTTTGTGCCAGGTTTTCAAAATTGTAGCTATGGACGTGAACTGCTGACAGGGATTTAATTAGATTGACACAGCTCACATAGAGTTACTGGAGTATGGGTCATTCTGGACTAGATTTTTAATGCCTAGGGGAAGCGGGTGTCTTACGTGTCAGTATTAGTACAATGTTGTGCTAACTGGCCATGAATAGAGAAATGCTTATCCTTTTCTTCTGCTTGCTGTATGTGGGTAGATGTGCTCTGTTAAGTGAAGGTGTATTTGCCCTAGTTTTTACAAAAGTGTCTTCAAAGGCTGAGAGGAAATCATTACATCTCTATGTAATTTAATGATGTAAGCTGAAAGGATTTTTTTCGGCTGATAAATATATGTGCCTTAACTAGCATTTCTGCTCAACTGTGTCATAATAAGTTGGTTGTACTTGGTAATTATCAAATAATCTGATTTCTTACACTACTGTCACTGCAAATTAAGTTAAAATCTCTGATTGCTTTCAGGCTGGCTTTATTTCTTATGGTTAAATGAAGTCATAGTCTTTGAATAGTTCTAGTTTGGCAAGTCTGAGTATGACTGTATAATCTACAGTAAAAGCAGTTCATGTAATTAATAAATGACCATATAAATCATAAGAGTTTCTTGTTAGACATGCATAATCCCATATCAAGAATGAAGATCTGGTACCTGTGAATCATGAGAGATGCTGGTTTAGAATCTGTTCTTTTTACTTTGGGCAATAAATTTATTTGTTGATAAAGTTAAGTTGAATAGTAGAATTCATGTTTCTCTAAGCCTTAGATTAGAAAGTTTTGAGGTACCTGAAGGACTTGAATTGCCAAGACATGAGATAAATTTAGGAAATGTATGAAACATTTTAACTTCTCTGTGTGACAGCCAGGGCCACAAAGAAACGCTAGTAACTCTGAAGGCGGTACTTAACAATTGCTTTACATTTCTGTTTTACTTAAGTCAGTAAAGCATGTTGAGTTTTTTCCTTATTTTTGTCAGATAATGCAACATAATAATTTAGTAAACTCTAAGATTTATGTTCTTAATCTAGCCCATTTAGAGCCAGTGAATACCAACATTAACCCTGAAATCTTTACCATTGTTTTGCAGCTGATTAAGTCATTAGTGAGGGAGGCTTAAATGCAGGCCAGCAGATGATGTAGTAAAGATACGTTTCTAGGAGTTCTAGTGCAGATTCAGGAAGAGTTCAGGAGTTGTGTTCCATACTTGGAGGCCATTTTCAGATGTGAGCCTAGCTTTTCTGTGCCTTAGAAGACTGTGATTTGTAATACTTTCATAACAGCATAATTCATCTCTTCCTCACCGTGTGCTACTATTGTTACCTTTCTACCAAGTTTTTCTGCTGAGGAGTTGCTAAAGTGGTTCAGTTTAATATAGATTGTCTTAATGTTGATTGCTGTATAATCTGGCAGATATTTTGAATGTCATAACCAGGGAGCATAAGAGTTCTGTGAAGGCAAGTGATAGTGGAGATAAGAAAGTGGTGTGGGGTAGAACAAAGACTGTTGAAACCAGTGCTGTTACTGGCATTTATCAACTGATGTGTGTCTGGATTTTTTACTAATGCTGCCTCTTCCCCATATACAGTAGCCTTATGCTGTAGGGGGATTTAGCCCAACAGAAAGTCTCATACCTCCTGCAAGCTGGGTAGAATTCTGTGCTTACAAGACTGAATGCTTTTATGCTATTCAGTTAGAGTAGTGTCTAGGGACCCGCTAAGAACAGGAGTGTGATTGCGTTAGATGCTGTACAAGCAGGGGCAGTTAGGTCTTTTCATTGGGATGTTTACATAACATTTTGTGATTGTTAGTTAAATAGCACTTCATGCTCTAGTATTTGCTTGTCATAGAGTAGTACCTGCTCCCCCCAGAAACTGATAAATTGTCTTGCTTTTGCCACGCAACTCGTTTATGGCAGGGACAGAACACTCCCAATCTGCCCTGTGCTTCAGCCTGTACTTTATGTTCGTAGCACTGTATGCTGACCTATGAATGAGCCATGTGTTGTGTGTGGTAAGACATGCCATGGAAAAGACTATGAAACATTACAGTGGAGCTCTTTTTCACCTTAATTTGTGTGTGAAATTATCTTAATTAGACAAGTTTCAGGCAGCATCTTTTTATCCCTTCTGTTGGCAACTGGATTCCTGAGTGCCCAGCTCCATGAAAAGCATAGAATTTGTGTTTGAGGCCAGAGGCCTTTTACAGATCCTTGTAAACATCCCTAATTCTTTCCAGTTCTACACAGCATGTCTTATCTTTTGTTTCTGTAAGACAGTTGATATAGCACTTCTTGAAGTTGAATCAATGAAATGTCTTGAACTAACTAGAAAGGAAATCTGTGGGACTAATTCATACAAGCTCTGTGGTACTCTGCAGCAGAGAGCAGTCATGTAAAGTACTCCTTAGGCAGGTATGGATTTCCAAGGACTGCAAAACGGTGTCAAGCAGAACTCTTGCTTGAAAGAGTAAACCATTTTAGGAATTACTGGACAGCAGGTGTTGTCTTGCCATCAGTTTGAACAACCAAATGAACTATACTCTTTGTCTTGTTTAATGGAACGAGTGTATTTGTCAGGTTTCAGTGCTGTGATGTTTCTGTATAGAGTGGGTACAAGAAATGGGTAACAAGCTGCTCAAAATGACCTGTGTGGTGTAACAGTTCTAGATATGCTGTGAAGCTAACATCAGTTACATCTCTTGCTGGGAATGAGAGATGCAGTTATGGGCAAAATATGGTACCCTCCATCATATTGTGGCTTGTGAGCATCTATAGAGTTGAGGAAGCAGATTTTATGTTTCAAATGCTTGTCATGCTGTTAAAATGTGCCTGGGTGAACTGCACATCCTCTACCACTGAGGAGCAGACAGTTCATGTTACATCCTTAGCAAAACCAGATTCAATCGGTGATGCATTGGAGAGGTAACTACTACCCTGTTTGTGTTGTGTAGAAGCATGCAGACAGTAGCTGGCAGATCATGCAACTTCCTAAATTAAAACTTGAGATACCAGTGATGTACTTGAGAGGAATACAAAGGTGAGGCTGTACTGGTGCCTAAGCTGAAGTCCAGTTCCTCTCATTGTGGCTTTCACTTTCTGTACTTCAGTGAAGGGCAAGTGGCAAAAAACATATCTGGTCCTCTGTGTAAATCAGAGTATGCTGTAGGGACTGTTGGTTTGGGTACAGCTTGGCTCAGAAGGACACATGGTAGTCTGTGGGTGTGCATGCATACTAATGCTTCCACATTGTCTGCTCTTCTGATGATACAATTTTCTTTGTCTTTGAATATACACTGCCTTTTACTTCTCCAGTTTCAGACACTGTCTACAATTCTTTACCCCATCAATCAATTACAGTAAGAAACTTGAGAATGCGTGAGTTTTTGCTACCCCCTGTTGCTCTTCTGGCAAGTGAGAGACTAAATGGATTTTTGTGGGCCATTTAAATGCAATTTGCTAGACACAGTCTCAGCTGGAATATTATTGTCTAAAACTTGATTTAGAAGATTAGACTGAATGTTTTTGCATGGGCTTACCTTGATCAGGGAGCTTTCTTCTAACACTTACCTGTAGAGCGTGGAATGTTATATCCAGGCTGGATGCTTCATATTAACTTGACTGTTTTTCAAATAAAAAAAAAAATCAATACTGTTTGCACTTCATGTATATGGCTGCTAAGTGGTAATCCAGAGGCAGTTTTAAATTGAGAGCTCATGTGTGAGCTCCATGTATAAGTTCTAATTTATTTCTTAGTTTCTATAAAATCAAATTGAAGTATTAGGCCTGAAGCAAAACACTATTTTAGCAGAGGGCCTCAATGCTGAAATAACTCTGAATATATCCTGTTAAATGTTTATATTTTGAATTTTGTGGAAATACAGTGAAGTCAGCTGCTGTATTCTGCAGAAGTTAAAAATTGTATCTGGTGTTAGTGATGTTGACTTTTAAGGACCTCCTTCAAAAAGTAAGTAATTTTGTTTGTTTTCCAATCTGCAGTACTCTGAGAATTCTGGAGTTTGTCTTCCTCTTGTGGTATTCATGTACCTTAAATACACTTAAAAAACCCCACGTGTGGAAAACAGATGAATTAAGCTCTTCACCCATTAGCACTATGGTGTATGTTTATTGTGGAGATCACCTGAATTTTTGTCCCTACCTGTTTGTATGCATCTTAACAGAAGAAGTTCTGAAGTTAGGTGTGTACTAGAAAAGTCTCCCATAATAATGACACTCATTAGGAACCATTCCCTTCATTAAATTGTGTTTGGGGGCAACTATGTGAAAATGTAGCATTTTGCAAATATGTAATGCTTTAATTACAAATGTAAGGTTGTCACTTTATGTCCTGTGCAAGGCAATACCTGGCTAAGGGTGATCAGGCTGTGTTGCTGTGGTCCTCATCATCCTGTTATGGTGGGTCCCTGCCAGTGAAGCTTCTTCTTGAAGTGGCTAGTGTATTAGTGAGTGCTGGTCTACACTATAGCATTTCTGTTGTCCACAATCTTCCCTTGGTGTCTGATAAGTTCTAGAGAGAAGAATGACTGAATGAGGAGCTAGCCTTTTTTCATTA